AGCTTGCTGAACTTGGAACTCATTACTAGTATGGCAATGGTGGCTGTGTTCCTGGATTTTGTTTCCATGTTTTGTTAGTAGAGCAGGTCTCTTGCCCTTCTCAACTTGATCCAGTTCCTTGACCACTTAGAGTCATAGTCATAGAGATGTACAGTATGGAAACAGATCCTTTGGTCCAACTCGTCCATACCAACATGATATCCTAAATTAATCTAGTCCCATTTGCCAGCATTTGACCCATATCCCTCTAAACCCTTTCAATTCATATACCCATCAAGATGCCTTTTAAATGTTGTAATTATACCAGCCTCCACTACTTCCTCTGTCAGCTCATTCCATACACACATGACCCGCTGTGTGAAAAAGTTGCCCCTTAGGTTCCGAAAAATATTTCCCCTCTCCCCTTAAATCTATGCGCTGTAGTTTTGGACTCCCCCTAGCCTGGGGGAAAGACCTTGACTGTTCATCCTATCCATGCCCCTCATGATTTTATAAACCTCTATAAGGTCACCCCTCAGCGTCCATCACTCCAGGGAAAATAGCCCCAGCCTATTCAGCCGCTCCCTATAGCTCAAATCCTCCAACCTTGGAAACATCATTGGAAATCTTTTCTGAACCCTTTAAAGTTTAATAACATATTTCATGAACCAGGGAGACCAGAATTGAATGCAGTATTCCAAAAAAAAGTGGCCTAACCAATGTCCTGCACAGCCGCAACATACCTTCCCAAACCCTGTATTCAATGCACTGATTTTTTTTTGTACAGATGCACTTCAGCATCTCTTTATCATCTCTTTAGTGATAATGATCTATTTACTTTGTACTAGGTGCCACCTTGAGCTACCTCTTTACTACTTTATGTCCAACATTCTGTTATAACAACGTATGTGTCCCCTATCCTTTCATCACGACTTTGTGCAGTACTTGGAGAGGTGTAGAAGTCATTTTATTTGATCAAAACATTGCCTTTCAATGTCTCTGTGTTGATGACTACCTGAGCATGGCAAACTGGTACTTCCTGTTCAATCTAGATGATTTTACATTCTGTTGGAGCATCCTCAACTTTCTTAGTAGGAAGTGTTGACTTTGACAGTGGGTTGACAATGTACATCTCTGAAGAAGGGTCTAGGCCCGAAACGTCAGCTTTTCTGCTCCTCTGATGCTGCTTGGCCTGCTGTGTTCATCCAGCTCTACACCTTGTTATCCCTCTACATCTCTTCCTCTTCATTTTACATCACATCTATATGATAGCTCATAGCAAAATAACTTTCTTTGAAGACTCTTTCACGTACTTAAAATGGTTTGTGGCATATGCTTTGAAGTGGCTTGTGGTCAGACTCCACTGTCACTTTGTCTCTCCTACAGGTATTGATTAAAATGCTGACAAAGGGAGAGAATAGCCAAGCACTCTTTCTCAATCTGACCATGGCCCAGTTCAGTTTGCATTAATTACCCTTATGTAACTGCAAATGGAGGTCCTTGCTACATAAGGATTATCCAAGTCCTGTTTTAATGGCATCACACTGCAAGGTAACTTCATCATTGACTTTATAGCACCTATATTATTAGTAGGGACCTTGCATAGAAGATCACTTTCTGAGAACGAATTAGAAAATAACGTTCCTAAATCGTTGACAAATCCAACAAATGCTTGCGCTGCTTTCACATCTGCTGGTCACTGCATCTCTACTCCGACTCTCACCTTACTACAATCCAGGCAAAACACTTTTGCTTTAAGTGGAATTGAATTCACTCAACACTATAATCAGGAAATGGCTGAAGACACAAATTACCACACCCTAGCCAAGTTCTTCCAGTACAGTTACAACAATGTCATCCACCGACGGTGTGGCAAATTGTCCCAGTACACAAAAAGCAGGACAAATCCAACCTGGACAATTAACACCTCATCAGTTAACTCTCAATCATTAGTAAAGTGATGGAAGGGGTCACAACAGTGCTATTAAGCAGCACCTGCTCAACAATAACCTGTTCAGTGATGCTGAGTTTGGGTTCTGCCAGGGTGTCTCAGCTTCTGACCTCATTACAGCCTTGGTAAAGACATGGACAAAAGAGCTGAATTCCAGAGATGAGGTGAGTGGCAGCCCTTGACCTCAAGGTCTGAGTCAACCAAGTATGACGTCAAGCCACCCTAGGCAAAAGGAATTCAGCAGAAAATCTCTCCACTAATTAAAGTCATATCTGGCTCATAAAGAGATTATTGTGGTTGTTGGAGGTCAGTCATAGAGTCATAGAGATGTACAGCATGGAAACAGACCCTTTGATCCAACTCGTACATGCTGACCAGATATCGTAGATATATCTAGTCCCATTCGCCAGCATTTGGCCCATATCCCTCTAAGCCCTTCCTATTCCTATTCATCCAGATGCCTTCTAAATGTTGTAATTGTGCCAGCCTCCACTACTTCCTTAGGCAGCTCATTCCATACACGCACCACCCTCTGCGTAAAAAAGTTGCCCCTTAGGTCCCTTTTATATCTTTCTCTTCTCACCTGAAACCTATGTCCTCTAGTTTTTGACTCCCCCACCCCAGGGAAAAGACCTTGTCTATTTACTCTATCCATGCCCTTCATGATTTTATGAACCTCTACAGGTTACCCCTCACCCTTCGACACTCCAGGGAAAATCATCTTCGCTCTAGGACATCTCAACAGGAATTCCTCAGTGTAGTGTCCTAGGTCCAACTATCTTTAGCTGCTTCATCAATGACCTTCCCTCTGTCATAAGGTCAGAAGTGGGGATGTTCGCCATCGATTGTACAATGTTCAGCACCATTTGCGACTCCTCTGATACTGAAGCAGTCCATATTCAAATGTAACATGACCTGGACAGAATTCAGGCTTAGGCTGATAAGTGACAACTAACATTCACGCCACACAATAGCCAGGCAATGACCATCTCCAATAAGGAATAATCTAGTCAACAATGCTGGACATTCACAGAATTCCTCAATATTGATAGCCTTGGAGTTACCATTGACCTGAAACTGAACTGGACAGTCATACAAATGCACTGGCTACAAGAGGAGGTCAGAGGCAAGGAATCCTGTAGCAAGTAACTGAACTCCTGAATCCCCAAAGTATGACTACCATCTGCAAGGTACAAGTCAGGAGTGTGATGGAATACTCTCCAATTACCTAGATGGGTACAACTCCGACAACACTCAAGATGTTTTTCACCATCCAGGATAAAGCAGCCCACTTGATTGACACCATATCCACCAACATCAACTCTCTCCACCATCAACACTCAGTGGCAGCAGTGTGTACTATCTATAGGATGCATTGCTGAAATTTACCAAGGGTCCTTATACAACATCTTACAAACCAACACCTCTACCATCTGAAAAGACAAAGGCAGCAGATATATGGGAACACGACCACCTGCAAGTTCCCCTACAAGCCACCCACCATCTTGACTTGGAAATATATCACTCTTTCTTCACTTATCGCTGGGTCAAAATCCTGGAACTCCCTCCCTAACAGTATTGTGGGTCTACCTACAGCAGGTGGACTGCAGCAGTTCAAGAAGGCAGCTCATCACCACCTTTACAAGGGCAACTAAGGATGGGCAATAATGCTGGAAAGTGACCTATGTACTTAAGTTGAGGCATCTTCAATTGCACCTTTTTCTTCTGGTTTCATTCTTTTTTTGATCTCAGTTTTTCTTCTGCAGATCTATGTTGACTCCTTCATCTACTTTTACTTGCTTATTAACAGCAGCCAGCTCCTTAAAAAATAATTTCTTGGTCTTCTTTCCTTTCTTCCCATGTTTTAGCACCTCCTTGGTTAGTGGAGCTGCCATTAACTCTGTCGTGCTTTTTAGGCTGGACGTCAGGGAAGCTGCATCTCTCTTTGACAGATTGTGAGTTGGTCTCACATGCTCAATCACTTTGAGATGATATTCACCGGGCAGATAACCAAGATCTGCAAAAACATTTTTGTAATCTTCAAGGATCTGTTAGCAGCCTGTGGCTTAGTGCTCTGTGAAATGCTGTCTCTTCTGACACATGTAGTTTCTTTTTCAAAATAAATCAATTTATTCAGAGATGTTATTACTCACCCCTGGAGCAGGTGGGACTTGAACCCAGGCCTCCTGCTTCTTAGGTAGGGACATTTATAACACCACAAAAGCCATGCCAGCTTATTAGTGCAAGCTTTATACTTGCCTCAGCTGAAGTAAGTGGATTTTACTCAACATTTATTTAATATCTGGAGCTCCAAATCTTAATTCTTCCCTTTACTTTGGGCTGTTAGCTTCATTTGCACTCTGTGGATGAGAATCGTTCCATCATATCTTCAATCTTGTTAATGCTGACCTTGCTTTATGCAGTTCCTGTACGCTGTGACCTGTATGCCCCACTCTGTCTAAGTACCTCATGTTCGGTATGTCCTTGCTTACTATGATCTGCCTGTACTGCTTGCAAACAAAGCTTTTCACTGTACTTAGGTATACACGATAATAAATCAAATCAATCAATCAATCTCACAACGAGGACATCATCTTCAGATTACCCTGTTGAGCCACTTTGCACAGGTCACCGAAGCTCAGGATGTTGCACGAAGCACTAGTGTCAATCTGACACTTTACATTCACTTGGTGTTCTCTTTCTGTAGTTATCACTCGAACAGTGACATACCATTGATCACCTTTAGACCTAAGAATTCTTTTGAATGATGTGGAATGATTAATCAGAATCATCCTCCTACATCTCTCCAGCAGCATCTTTAAAGCCTTGTTTTCCTTCTTTCCTGCTAAACTCTTGTGTGTAAAGTGATGCAGCTACTTGCAGTTAGAGCACTGTTCTTCCTATTTTGGATCTTCTCCCTTTTCCTTTGTGTGATGTCCTGTACAACATTGACATTCTGCCTTCTGACCTTGATCTTCCTGCTAGCTTGAGGATTGAATGGTATTTTCACATCCCAGAGTTCCTCTGCTCTATTTCTCCCCAGTCAGATTGTGACCAGTCAGGCACTCACCTGGAATGGATACTGCCTGTCCAGGGGACAGTTATCCTCAGCAGTTACTCTTTCCACACACTTGACTTTTTCCATCTCGATTGACCCTTTCTTGCACCCACGTTTCTGAAAAGAAAATAGATTTAATTAAATTCATATAAATACTTAATCATGTGAGTTATTACTCTTCCACTAAGGATCCTGACTCTCTCTCTCCCCCGAGGTTGTTGTCAATCCCACTCCCACTCCTGCTCCTACTCCTGCTCCCACTCCCACTCCTGAAGGTGATGACTCGCTCCCCTTTCCTGAAGCTTCAGACCCTGCTTCCCAGTGCAGGTTGCTTCAGGTTTTCCCTTGGCTTGGAGAATTGATATTACTTCAGATCGGTGACATTCTCCTGCAGTGAACTGAGCGAAAATTTGTTGAATTAGGAGGAGTGTCATGGATGCATTCTCTCCTCATCATTTTCAGTTGTTTCAGTGATGGGAGTCCGGGAGGAAGCGCAAGGGCATCCTGGGAAGGTAAGCTTTTCGATTATAAAAGTCCTACCTCGTGTGACTGAGGCCTTTCAGTTGTTTCAGCGGTGGGAGTCTGGGAGGAAGCGCAAGGGCACCCTGGGAAGGTAAGCTTTTCGCTTATAAAAGTCTTGCCTCGCGTGACTCCATTTTTGCAGCAGCAGTGAGAGCAAGGACCAGGGGGCTGCCGGGAAGGTAAGTTAATCCTTTAAAAACTTACCTCGTGAATAGGCGGAGTGCACGCTGAGCAGGAGAGGACACGGGACAGCTGAGTAAGTGAGGTAATATATTTGGGCGGTTGCTTTACCCGAAACACTACCTAGGTAGTGTCTCCCACCCATCCTCCTCCTCTAACCAAAAAAAAGGTTCTGAGCGCCGATTTGGTAAGGTTACTAGTTTTCTTTTTCAATAGTCTGTTTGGGAATTCAGAATAGTGGGAATGGATGTTAGGGCAGTTGCATGCTCCTCCTGTAGAATGTGGGAGGTAAGGGTCACCACTAGTGTCCCCACTGACTTCATCTGCGGGAAGTGCACCCAACTCCAGCTCCTTGGAAACCACGTTAGGGAACTGGAGCTGGAGCTGGATGAACTTCGGATCATTTGGGAGGCTGAGGGGGTAATTGAGAGGAGTTACAGGGAGGTAGTCACACCTCAGGTACAGGAAAAAGGTAGATGGGTTACAGTCAGGGGATGGAAAGGGAACAGGCAGACAGTGCAGGGATCCCCTGTGGCCATTCCCCTCAATAACAAGTATACCATTTTGGGTACTGTTGTGGGGGACGACTTACCAGGGGTAAGCCATGGAGTACAGGTCTCTGGCACAGAGTCTGTCCCTGTTGCTCAGAAGGGAAGGGGGGAGAGGAGGAGAGCATTGGTCACTGGGGACTCCATAGTTAGGGGGACAGATAGGAGATTCTGTGGGAACGAGAGAGACTCGCGGTTGGTGTGTTGCCTCCCAGATGCCAGGGTCCGTGATGTCTCGGATCATGTTTTCGGGATCCTTAAGGGGGAGGAGGAGCAGCCCCAAGTCGTGGTCCACATAGGCACCAATGACATAGGTAGGAAAAGGGATGGGGATGTAAGGCAGAAATTCAAGGAGCTAGGGTGGAAGCTTAGAGCTAGAACAAACAGAGTTGTTATCTCTGGTTTGTTACCCGTGCCACGTGCTAGCGAGGTGAGGAATAGGGAGAGAGAGCAGTTGAACACGTGGCTAAAGGGATGGTGCAGGAGGGAGGGATTCAGATACCTGGATAATTGGGGCTCATTCTGAGGTAGGTGGGACCTCTACAAACGGGATGGTCTACACCTGAACCAGAGGGGTACCAATATCCTGGGCGGGGAATTTGGTAATGCTGTTTGGGAGGGTTTAAACTAATTCAGCAGGGGGATGGGTACCTGAATTGTAGCTCCAGTGTACAGGAGGTTGAGAGTAGTGAGGTCATGAATAAGGTTTCAAGGTCGCAGGAGTGTACCGGCAGGCAGGAAGGTGGTTTGAAGTGTGTCTACTTCAAAACCAGGAGCATCCGGAATAAGGTGGGTGAACTTGCAGCATGGGTTGGTACCTGGGACTTCGATGTTGTGGCCATTTCGGAGACATGGATAGAGCAGGGACAGGAATGGTTGTTGCAGGTTCCGGGGTTTAGATGTTTCAGTAAGATCAGGGAAGGTGGTAAAAGAAGGGGAGGTGTGGCATTGTTAGTCAAGGACAGTATTACGGTGGCAGAAAGGACGTTTGATGAGGACTCGTCTACTGAGGTAGTATGGGCTGAGGTTAGAAACAGGAGAGGAGAGGTCACCCTGTTGGGAGTTTTCTATAGGCCTCCGAAAAGTTCCAGAGATGTAGAGGAAAGGATTGCAAAGATGATTCTGGATAGGAGCGAAAGTAACAGGGTAGTTGTTATGGGGGACTTTAACTTTCCAAATACGGACTGGAAATGCTATAGTTCGAGTACTTTAGATGGGTCAGTTTTCGTCCAATGTGTGCAGGAAGGTTTCCTGACACAGTATGTAGATAGGCCAACAAGAGACGAGGCCACATTGGATTTGGTACTGGGTAATGAACCAGGCCAGGTGTTAGATTTGGAGGTAGGTGAGCACTTTGGTGATAGTGACCACAATTCGGTTACGTTTACTTTAGCGATGGAAAGGGATAGGTATATACCATAGGGCAAAAGTTATAGCTGGAGGAAAGGCAATTATGAGGCGATTAGGCAAGATTTAGGATGCACAGGATGGAGAAGGAAACTGCAGGGGCTGGGCGCAATTGAAATGTGGAGCTTGTTCAAGGAACAGCTACTGCGTGTCCTTGATAAGTATGTACCTGTCAGGCAGGGAGGAAGTGGTCGAGCGAGAGAACCGTGGTTTACTAAAGAAGTTGAATCTCTTGTCAAGAGGAAGAAGGAGTCTTATGTAGAGATGAGGCGTGAAGGCTCAGTTAGGGCGCTTGAGAGTTACAAGTTAGCCAGCAAGGACCTAAAGAGAGAGCTAAGAAGAGCCAGGAGGGGACATGAGAAGTCTTTAGCAGGTAGCATCAAGGAAAACCCTAAAGCTTTCTATAGGTATGTCAGGAATAAAAGAATGACTAGAGTACGATTAGGGTCAGTCAAGGACAGTAGTGGGAAGTTGTGCGTGGAGTCCGAAGAGATAGGAGAGGCGATAAATGAATATTTTTCGTCAGTATTCACACAGGAAAAAGACAATGTTGTCGAGGAGAATACTGAGATACAGGCTATTAGACTAGACGGGATTGATAAGGAGGAGGTGTTAGCAATTCTGGAAAGTGTGAAAATAGATAAGTCCGCTGGGCCGGATGGGATTTATCCTAGGATTCTCTGGGAAGCTAGGGAGGAGATTGCAGAGCCTTTGGCTTTGATCTTTATGTCGTCATTGTCTACAGGAATCGTGCCAGAAGACTGGAGACTAGCAAATGTTGTCCCCTTGTTCAAGAAGGGGAGTAGAGACAACCCTGGTAATTATAGACCAGTGAGCCTTACTTCGGTTGTGGGTAAAGTGTTGGAAAGGATTATAAGAGATAGGATTTATAATCATCTAGAAAGGAATAATTTGATTAGGGATAGTCAACACGGTTTTGTGAAGGGTAGGTCGTGCCTCACAAACCTTATTGAGTTCTTTCAGAAGGTGACCAAACAGGTGGATGAGGGTAAAGCGGTTGATGTGGTGTATATGGATTTCAGTAAAGCATTTGATAAGGTTCCCCACGGTAGGCTATTGCAGAAAATACGGAGGCATGGGATTGAGGGTGATTTAGCGGTTTGGATCAGAAATTGGCTAACTGTGAGAAGACAGAGGATGGTGGTTGATGGGAAATGTTCATCCTGGAGTTCAGTTACTAGTGGTGTACCGCAAGGATCTGTTTTGGGGCCACTGCTGTTTGTCATTTTTATAAATGACCTGGATGAGGGCATAGAAGGATGAGTTAGTAAATTTGCGGATGACACTAAAGTTGGTGGAGTTGTGGATAGTGTGGAAGGTTGTTGCAGGTTACAGAGGGACATAGATAAGCTGCAGAGCTGGGCTGAGAGGTGGCAAATGGAGTTTAATGCAGAAAAGTGTGAGGTGATTCACTTTGGAAGGAATAACAGGAATACAGAGTACTGGGCTAATGGTAAGATTCTTGGTAGTGTGGATGAGCAGAGAGATCTCGGTGTCCATGTACATAGATCACTGAAAGTTGCCACCCAGGTTGATAGGGTTGTTAAGAAGGCGTACGGTGTGTGAGGTTTTATTGGTAGAGGGATTGCGTTTCGGAGCCATGAGGTCATGTTGCAGCTGTACAAAACTCTGGTGCAGCCGCACTTGTAGTATTGCGTACAGTTCTGATCGCCGCATTATAGAAAGGATGTGGAAGCTTTGGAAAGGGTGCAGAGGAGATTTACCAGGATGTTGCCTGGTATGGAGGGAAGGTCTTATGAGGAAAGGCTGAGGGACTTGAGGCTGTTTTCGTTAGAGAGAAGAAGGTTAAGAGGTGACTTAATAGAGACATACAAGATGATCAGCGGATTAGATAGGGTGGACAGTGAGAGCCTTTTTCCTTGGATGGTGATGGCTAGCACGAGGGGAAATAGCTTTAAATTGAGGGGTGATAGATATAGGACAGATGTCAGAGGTAGGTTCTTTACTCAGAGAGTAGTAAGGGCGTGGAATGCCTGCAATAGTAGTAGACTCGCCAACTTGAAGGGCATTTAAATGGTCATTGGATAAACATATGGAAGATAATGGAATAGTGTAGGTTAGATGGGCTTCAGATTGGTTTCACAGGTCGGCGCAACATCGAGGGCCGAAGGGCCTGTACTGCGCTGTAATGTTCTATGTTCTATGTTCTAACACATGCAAATGACTGGGATACAAATCATTCTATGCTGTGCCCCTTTGTAGTACATTGCTTTGCCTAATGTGAGAGAGGAAAATCACTTCCTAGTTAACTGTGAGATTCTTTTGTATTTAACAAGATATATTTTGTTGTATGTTTGCAACTAGTTACAGGTCACATTGAGATGATGGACTTTATTCCAGAGGACCAGATGCTGGGTCCTTCGAATTCCTAAACTATTTGCTCACAGCTCCATATGGTATCATGAAAGTGGCATTCCTCAGTATTCGCCCTTTCAGACCCTTTTCAGGCCTCTGATAAATTTCCTTTGGTAGACAGTTGCGTCAAATGAATATTTGGCCCCTTGTTCATGTCATTGAGGAGCTGAACACTGCTTTGGGAAATTGGTCCCTGATGACCAAAGAGGGTATCTGGCCAGATCCACTCCTGAGGATATATTACTGCCTGAATTTCCCATCTCTACCCCCAATTCCCCTTGTGCTACAGCCCCTGGTCTTCAAAGCTTGCTTGCTCAGATCACACAGAAAAGCCCTGAGCCTCCTCCAACTTGAAGAACATCTGGACTTTGTGCCTGAATTTCAAGGAGCCATGACCAGACACATCAGGAATTGCCTTTTTCTTTGACTTGTGAGGGTCCCTGAGCCCTTCATATCTGGCTGAAAGGCACTCGCCAAGAGGAAGAAACAGAAAAAAGAAAGAGTAACACTTGAAAATGAAGGGTATAAGACCTGTCACATTCATCAGATTTACTGGTCCTTTGACAATTCTGAAGTTGAGTCATTCCGGACCCAAAATGCTCATTGTTTTTCCCTCTCCACAGCTGCTGACCGACCTGCTGAGTAAAGTTTTTGAGAAGATTTGTAGCTGGGGATGTGGAAAAGATTGTAGACTCGCTCGGTAAGCCAGTGTGTTTGTTTGCTGTTTCGTCACCCTGCTAGGTAACATTGTCAGTGCACCTCTGGTGAAGCGTTGGTGTTTTGTCCTGCTCATTAATTATGTGCCTCAGTTTGCTGGGGTGATTGGTATCACTTCCATTTCTGTTTTTCAGTGGTTTGTATATCAGGTCGAGTTCAATGTGTTTGTTGATGGAGTTCTGGTTGGAATGCCAGGCCTCCAGGAATTCCCTGGCATGTCTCTGTTTGGCTTGTGCTATTATGGATGTGTTGTCTCAGTCGAATTCGTGTCCTTCTTTGTTCATGTGTATTGAGACCAGTGAGAATTGGTCGAGTCTCATGGTGGCTAGTTGGTGTTCGTGTCTCCTTATTGTCAGTTTTCTTCCAGCTTGGCCTATGTACTGTTTCTCACAGTCCTTGCATGGTATTTTGTATATTGCGTTAGTTTTATTGGTTGTGGGTATCGGATCCTTTACGTTCGTTAATAGCTGTCGCAGGGTGGTTATTGGTTTGTGGGCTGCCCTGATACTTAGGGGTTTAAGAAGTGTAGTAGTCAGGGTAGCAATCACACCGGCTCAGCAAGCAAGTCTACAATCTCAGACCTGCTGAGATTCTTCAGCATTCTCCATGTGTGTTTCTGATTCTTCTCTCTGGGCCCATGTTCATAGACTCGCCACTGCATTCTCCATTCTTTAGCTGCCTCTGCTAGATTCATTCAATGGAAAATGTTCTTATAAAGTGCCACAGACTTGTTTCGAGATATGACAGCCAACTCAATGATACCCACACTTACCCACCACTCCCCTTCCCATCTGCTGTGACATTCTATCACCAGGCCTGGCTTTACAAAGGCGACATTCCCATCCTGGCCTTGCTCAGCCTAACACTCCTGTTTCTTACTGGGTGTACAATATATATGTTCATGTAATGGCTAATAAATCTAATGACATATCCCAACATGTAATAACATGCTCCGCTGGAATATTATGAAACAAAATATGACACTGAGCTATTGGAAACAGCAGCAGAACCTGCTGGAAACATTCAGCAGGCCGGGAGAATCTGTGGAGACAGAAACAGAATTAATATTTCAGGTTCGAAACAAAGACATTGTTTCTCATCAAAGATCAAATAATTCAGGGGAGGCGATGGCCTAGTGGCACTGTCTCCCGACTGTCAACCCAGGGACACAGGTAATGTTCCAGGTTTGAATCCCGCCATGGCAGATGGTAGAATTTGGATTCAACCAAAATCTGGAATTAATAGTCTAATGATCATAGAACCATAGAACCCCTACAGTGTGGAAACAGGCCATTTAACCCAACAAGTCCACACCGCCCCTCCGAAGAGCATTCCACCCAGACCCATTCCCCTACCCCTGCATTTCCCATGTCTAACCCACCTAACCTAAACATCCCTGAACACTATGGGGCAATTTACCATGGCCAAACCACCTACCCTGCACATCTTCGGACTGTGGGAGGAAACCGGAGCGCCCGGAGGAAACCCACGCAGACACGGGGAGAACGTGCAAACTCCACACAGTCACCAGAGGCTGGAATCGAACCCGGGTTGCTGGTGCTGTGAGGCAGCAGTGCTAACCACTGAGCTACCGTGCCGCCCTGATGATGACCACGAATCTATTGCCGATTGTCAGGGGAAAATCCCAGCTGATTCATTAGTCCCTTTAGGGAAAGAAACTGCCATCTTTACCTGGTCTGGTCTACATGTGACTCCAGATCCACATCAATGTAGTTAACTCTCAATTGCCATCTGGACAATTAGGGGTGGGCAATGAATGCTGGCCTAGCCAGAGATACCCACATCCCATGAATAAATGAATTTTCAAAAGTTGCAATCATGTTGGATCTAATTCTGATCTTAACTCCACGTACCTACCTGACCCCACAACCTTTCACCGCTTTCTCAATCAAAAATCTCTCCAACTCAACCTAGATTATATTAAGCGACCGAAAGCCCACTGTCTTCCAGAAAAATGAATTCCAAACACAAACATTCCTCTGAGAGAAGAAACACCTCCTTTTCTCTGTCCTAAATGGTGAAAGTGTTAACTTCAAGGAAGCTGGAGAGACTCTGATTGGATAATTGTTCAGAGGATTGTTGGACTAGACAACATTCTAGCATCTGGCAGGGGGTGGGGCGAGTCCTTGGAGGGATTTGTAAATTCTGTAAATGAGGATGAGGAGAATTTTAGCATCAGACCATTGTAGTTCAGAGAACACAAAGGATGATAGGAGGTTGGGACCTAGTGCGAGTTAAGACACAGGCAGCAGAGTTTTGGATGCCTTAGACTTACAGAGGATAAATAGGAGGTTGGACATCTGGCACTATTTGAATGTGTTGACCTGACAAATCAGGGCCAGCAATCTCTGACTCAACACATTACAAGTGCAGTACACCACATAGAGCTTTCAGGCTAAATTAGATTGCTATCTCTCAAGTCTTCAGAAATAATCAAGATCTCTTGGGTGAGTAATGGATTCTTAGGCCCAATGTCTCCAGGTACTCTAAATTTACCATGGCATTTAGTGCTCAATTGAGGAACAGACACTAAAATTCACTGTGTTGTCCAATCTTATTGCCTTTGTTCCTTCCCCTCATCCACAGAAATGTGGTCAATAGTGCTTTGGATGTTTAGATAGTTAGCTGCCCTGCTGCTCCTTTAGCAGGAAAACCAAGGGCTGTGCCATCAGAATCAATTCCTTCTCTGTCATAAGCAGATTAATCACGACAAGCTGAGGAGAAGCGAAGGGGTCAAACATCAACCTGTTATTATTCAGCGCACATGGCTGGTGAATGTGGGGTTTGGTTGAGGTTTCTGTCAAGAGTGTAAGCCCCCTACAATGAATAGTTGTTCAGGATCACCCAACAAACCACAGCGATGTAGAGGATGTAAAGTGATTACATAGAACAGATGCCCTAATTGGACTTGAAGGCTGCATTTTCACAGAATTGGGTCAACCTCAGATGCCCTTAAAAATGACAAGCAGGTAACAAATGCAAAAGGACTAGCCATCAATTCAAGTGGATTCCATTTTATCATGACAAAGCAGCCTGCTTGATTGGCGCCACATTCACGACTTTAAATATCTACTCCCAAAACCACCATCAATACTCCTTAGACAGCATCTTGTAAAACACAGTCCCTCCCATCTAGAAGGACAAGAGCAGCAATTACATGGGAACACCACCCCCTACAAGTTCCTCTCTAACACACTCATCTCTTGCCTTGGAAATATATTGCTGTTCCTTCACTGTCACTGGGTCAAAATCCTGGAACTCCCTCCCTTAGGGTATTGTGGGTCATGCTACAGCATGTGGACTGAAGTGGTTCAAGAAGGCAGCTCACTAACACCTTCTCAAGAGCAACTAGGGATGGGCAATAAATGCTCATTAGCCAGCGATGTCCGTGTTTCATGACAGAAAAATGAAAACTGTTTCTACTCACATTCCCTGCTGAAGAGCATTGTTACAGTTAATATCTGGGCTTCAGCTGCATCAGAAACCTCTAATAATGGACACTTACCATTCGTTCGCTGTCATATTCATAGTAGGAGATTTTGGTGTCAGTCAGGATGAATAATCTCTCTTTGTAGTTGAGTGGTGACGTCTTTTTCTTCTGCTGTGATCTCTTAACGAATACCTCCTCCATGAGTGCATTTGATGGGAGCAGACAACCACTGAGAGATCCTGTCAGAGAGAAACAAGGACGCTGAAAAATTGAAGTAGAAACAAAACAGTTGGTCCATGAATGCCAATCATCTTGCCCTCCCCTAATCCAAGGACAGTCCTGTTGGAAGATTCTTAACAAGACTCCTTTACATGTGACTTCAATTCCAGCTTTACTTCAACCATTGGGTCAGATCATTGAGTCACCTAGAATGGCATCATTCTAAATGATGGGAACAGGATTTCTAATTGACATTACTGCTACTGCACCCTTGGAAAACATGGTACAAATCAGATGTACAGGCTCATTAACCAATAGGTGTGGGTTTTCCCCTAATAATAAGGATATGAAGGATGGCGCTAGGACATGGGTGTCATATGCTGCAGTACCAATTACTGGTGGCTTGTGGTCACAGCAATCTCCTTTCTACTCTTTTAAAACAAAATATTACCATCCTACTGGAGCACTGTAGTAAAAACAAAATCAAACAAGTAATGGAAACTTATAGAAGACTAAATGAAACTTATCAAAATCAAATCAAAATATTATTACCTGGGATAATGATGCACTTCAGCCCCTGTGGTGCCCACTGATCTCTAAAGGCCTCTATTGTGCTGGTGTACACTGCATGCCCCACCTCAATAGCTACCCGAATGTGACATAACTGTGGAAGGGCGTTAGATGGTTGAGTCCTATAACCCCCTTCATGACCTGCTGCCTCAACCTATTGATGGCCACTTTGTCCAGGACAGGAGCAAACTCATAAGGAAGCCTTCCAATCTGTCCACGGCCCCTACAAATCCTGAGTATAATGGTCTATCAAATTAGCAGTGGCATAACATGAATATGATCAAGCTTTAACAAGAATAGGCATTTGCCTTACACAACAAGATGCTTTTTGCTGCATTATAGCAATAGGTGCAAGCTACATTACCTAGTCACTGTAATTATGCCTAACTATCAGGACCCAGAGATGACAAGTCTGTCTCTGTAGAGACCTCGTACTAGACTGCTTCTTTTCCACCTATTGACTTTCACCATCCAACTGGGTTGAGCTATATGAAACTTCAGCATTAACTCTTTCAAAAACATTATCTTATACAACAATGGGATCAACTGGGAGACCACAATGGTGCAGCCTGGCAGTGTAGCTGGCAAGGAAATTGGAGTCCACTGCAAGGAAAGAGAGTATGTGGAATGGGCCAAGGTTAATAGCACAAAGGCAGCGGAGAGTTTGAGAAACAGGGTGGCAAGGTAGAGTTGGGTGCCAATGGAGTGCACTTAATGCTTGACACCATAGCTGATGAGTTTATGTCAAGAAAGAGGAGGTAACTTGGGCTAGATCACTGAGGGACTGCGTATGTAATGAATTCAGGGGGGAAGGTCTCAGTTGCTCGAAATACTCTGGCCATGATTAGACAGACAAGAGTGGAAGCAAATGAGGGTCAGTAATTGCACTGGACAATAGTAGGTAGGTGCTGGTGGAGGATAGGATGGACACCTGTCTATGGTTGCTGAGAGTTCAAAGAAGAACACAGATCATATTGTCCATGGAGAATGTAACAGTGAAGATTGTTTTAGCTTCATAAGTAATTCAGAAATTTGGCAAGAGGGATTCCAGGAAAGACCTTTGAACAAGATGGCATGGAGCTTAGACAGTGTAATATATTAACATACCTTGAAACGGAAAGTGGGGGCTGGTTGTGTAGTTGCAAACCAAAAGCCCAGGCTAATACTGGGTAGACTTAGGTTGAAAACCCAACATAGAATCTGATGGAATCTAAATTCAATTAATAAAATAGTCTCAATATGATGGTGACCATGAAGCTATTTTAATTGTTATAAAAACATATCCTGATTTCTAACGTCCTTTCGGGAAGGAAATCTGCTGTCCTTCCATGGTCTGGACTACATATGACTCCAAGCCACAGCAATGAGATTGACTCGTAACTGCCCTCTGAAATGGCCTAGCTAGTTACTCACTTCAAGGGAAATTGGGGATGGAGAATAAATACTGTCCCAAACAGTGAGATACATATCCCATGAGAATAAAGAGGTTTTAAAAAAGGTATGATAGGTCATGGATGTGTGTTTACTGAGCAAGGGATGTTAATGGTGGCCGTACTGAGACAGTTCCTTCGGAGAAGACTCCTTAACGTATTATGTAGCAGAGCAGCCAATGAGCAGGACAAAACAAAACTACTTACACTTTTTTGAGGAGAGATGTTTCATGAAGAAAAATGTCCTAACCATTTTTTACAGAGCTATAATTAAACAAAATGGACACCAAGTTAAAGAAGGAGATATGAGGAGAGCTGACTGTAAGGTCTGAAACCTGATCGATAAGAAAGTAGTTTAGGGTGAGAGTTCCAGAGAGTTTTTTTTGTGTTTTACTGAGATCTGTCGCTCGATTGAATTTTAATATGAAAGATAGGTATGAAGTTATCCCAGAGCAGTGTTTTGAGCAGTAAGACTGTGCAAACACTGGGTTTTTGAGCAAAGTGTTTGTCATTTATGTGAATGATTTGGATGAGAATATAGAAGGCATGGTTAATAAGTTTGCAGATGACTCCAAAATTGGTGGCATGGTAGATAGTGAATAAGGTTTTCTAAGATTACAAGGTGATCTTGATCAAATGGGTTAGTGGGCTGAAAAATGGCAGATGGAGTTCAATCTGGATAAATGTGAGATATTGCATGTTGTTACAACAAACGAGGGTAGGGCTTATACAATTAATAGTTGGGTCCTGGATAGTGTTGTAGAACAGAGGGACCTAGGGTTAGGGTACATAATTCTTTGACGTTTGTGTCATGCATAGACAGGTTGGTTAAAAAGGCGTTTGGCACGCTTGCCTTCATTGCTCAGCCCTTCGCGTACAGGAGTTGGGAAGTCACGTTGAGGTCATACGGAACGTTGGTGAGGCCTCTTCTGGAATAATGTGTTCAGTTCTGGTCGCCCAGCTATAGGAAGGATGTTATCAAGCTGGAGAGGCTTCAGAAAAGATTCACCAGAATGTTGCCGGGTATGGAAGGTTTGAGTTATAAAGAAAGGCTGGATCGGCTGGATTTTTTTCACGAGCGTAGGAGGTTGAGACGTGACCTGATAGAAATTTATAAAATAATGAGAGATATAGATAGAGTTAGTGGTAATTGTCTTTTCCCTAGGATGGGGCATTTCAAGACTAGGGGGCACATTTTTAAGGTGAATGGGGAAAGATTTTAAAAAGACGTAAGGGGCAAACATTTTACTCAGAGAATGGTTCGTGTGTGGAATGAACTTCATGAGAAAGTGGTGGATGCAGGTACAATTGCATCATTTAAAAGAAATTTGGCTAGATACATGAATAGGAAGGGCTTGGAGGATATGGGCCAGGAGCAGGCAGGAGGGACTAGTCTAGTTTGGGATTAGTTGGGCATGGACAAGTTGGACCAAAGGGTCTGCTTCTGTGCGAGATGACTGTATGACTCTATAAGTGGGTTGTGTTTGTTTTTCGGTATTTTCTGGGTCTGTAGATTGTTAGTAGGGTTTTAGTAGGGTGACGTGCTCTTCCTGTTGGATGTGGAAGATCTGGGAGAATTTCAATGTTCCTGCAGACTATGTCGTCCAGAATACATGGATTGGTTGGACCAGCAATTAGAGGCAATGCGGAATTTACAAGAACCAGGGAGTGTGATAGTTGGCAGTTTCAGAAAGGTGGAAACACCGCAGATACATTTAGGTGGATGGGCAACCGTATAGAGTTGGGACGTAATGTTGTGGCTGTACAGGACATTGGCGAGGCCGCTTTTCGAATGCTGCATTTAATCCTGGTCTCCCTTCAATAGGATTGAAGGGTTTGAGCTATGGGAAGAGGCGGAATAAGCTGGGGCTACTTCCCCTGGAGCATCGGAGACTGACGGGTGACCTAATAGGGGCTTATAAAGTCATGAGGGGTATAGATAGGGTGAAAGCCACGGCATTTTTCCCAGGGTAGGGGTGTCCAAAACTAGAGGGCAGAGGTTTAAGGCGAGAGAGGAAAGATTTAAAGGGGACCTGAGAGGTAACATTTTCACACAGTGTTCGCAAACCCTTCAATCCCGGCAACATCCTTGTAAATCTTTTCTGAACCCTTTCAAGTTTAACCACATCTTTCCTAGTCAAGGGAGACCAGAATTAAGTGCACCATTCTAAAAGCGGCGTCACCAATGTCCTGTACAGCCACAACATGACGTCCCAACTCTATACTCAGTGTTCTGACCAATGAAGGCAAGTGTGCCAAACGCCATCTTCACCACCCTGTCTATCTGTCTTTTAGTGTATGGAATGAGCTGCCAGACGTGGTGGTGGAGGCGGGCACAATTCCAACATTTAAAAGGCATCTGGACGGGTACACGAACAGGAAGAGTTTACACGGAATCGGGCCAAATGCTAGCAAATGGGACCAGATCAGTTTAGGATATCTGGTCAACATGAATGAGCTGAACTGAAAGGTCTGTTTCTGTGCTGTACATCTCTATGACTCAATGAGGTTTAGATAATTGAGGGTAGGGGTTGAAGATAGAAGGATAATAGGAAGGAAGGTTTGATGGAATGATACTTCTAAGGTATTTTAGGGCCAGAGGAGGTGACCGAGAGAAGGGGCAAGAATATGAAAATGGACATTAAAAAATAAATGAGCAATTTAAATAATAAACTTAAGACAGTGAAAGTCAGCAAGGAAAGGAGATGATGGATGACCAGAACTTGTTTTTGAGTTGGTTTACTGGTAACAGTGTTTTGAGCGAACTGATAATTATGGTCTAAAGAGATACAAGGCCATCTTGTCGGAATAATGTTGACATGTTTGTTTTTGGAAGAACTAAACTGAGGATGAGGATTTCAGCAGGAGAGGAGCTGAGGCAGGAAGAGAAATGGGGAATATCAGAGATGGAAGTGAGTGCATAGTCTTTGCAAAAGAGGGGGTTTTGGATTGGAAACCGATCTCATCTCAGGGTCAAATATGACACTAAAGTTGCAAACTGTCTAGTTCTGTTGGAGATGTGGCTGGAGGCCTATATGGAAATTATGGTGGATGCGAAACAAAAAAGCAAAGAACTGCAGATGCTGGAAATCAGAAACAAGCCAGCATCTGTGGAGAGGAAGCAGAGTTAACATTTTGGATCCAGTGATCTTTCCTCAGAACTGTCGCTCTCTCTCTTCTCCCTGAAGGTATTGTCTCTTTCTGTCATGTGAGGTGCTGATCCTCTCTCTCTTTCTCTCCTCCCCACTCACTCTCTTTCTCTCCCCGAAGGTGTTGACTCTGGTCTAGGGTCTATTTACGCAGGGTCATTTCCCCTGTGTGTGACCTGTTAAAGATATCCTTCTTTAAGTTTGAACATAATGACTGATTGCTGATGGGACATTAATCATGAGGAACATCATGCTGACCTATGGGTACACTCTCTCACTGACGTTGATCAACGATCATGTTTGTTTCTTTCCTGTAGTCAGCACAGCTTAGAGTAGCTAACAGCATGCTCCTGACTGAATCCCTTGTGTGACTGGCTGGTATCGGAGCCATGCAGTGATCCTAGGAACTACTAACAGGTTAGCACTGATGCCCACTGAGTCTGGGAGTTGTGGCTTCAAGTCCCATTCTGGAAACACCCGATCTCTGTTGACATACCGGGGAAGTACTGAGGGAGTACTGCACTGTTTGAGTGCCATCTTTATAACTGATGAAGCAATAAACTGAGACCCTACCTCAGGTGACACCTGGCAATGTCATCAGGGGAATCTGTGAGTCTACCAAGTCTGAGTCCTCAGCATTCTCCTCCACAGTGGTTAGAGCTGGACAATGTCCGCTTGGCAGTAGAAAAGGCCAAACAGTTTCTTTCCTCACTGATCAGGAGAACGTTATCAACACAGAGCTCCTGGAGTGTGTTAATTCCATTAGCGTACACTCAGTACTAAACCAGTAAAGTCTGTGCTGGCTCTGCCACGTTCATTGGTCAAATGAAACTACTTCTCCAAAGAAAATTCTATACAGTCAATTGGCACTAGGGCATGACCCCGTGGTCATTCATACCCCGCTACAAGGAAGACTTGTAGCTGACAGATGTTGACATTATCAACTGGGAGACAGTTGCGGCTAACATCTCGAGGAAGAGCATTGGAAGAGGAGAAGACAATCGAAAAGCTCATCTGGACAAGAAGCAGCTCAGAGAAAAGAGGGGCCAGAAAATCCTCCACCTGCTCAACCAGCTCTCTTCCTCTTCAACAAATGTGGTAAAGACTGCCAAGTTAGCGAGTGGAGACTGAGACACACTAGCTGATGTTTAACACAAAGTTCAGCACCAGAAAGCAAAGCTTGCCTTACAAGATGGAAGGTTTCCAGAGGTAACAAGGCCAATATTTACGCCTAGACCAGCAATTCTACAATACATTTTCTGGTCATTATCACATGCAAAATCTTGCTTTGTTAAAATTGGCTGCTGCTTTATTCTGTTACAATAGTAAAAACACTTGATAAGTGTTCTTTATTGAGTCATTGTCTGCTTTATGAGGAAAGGCTAGACAGACTAGAAGAATTCAGAAGAGTCAGAGGTGACTTAATTGAAGCATATAAGATCCTGAGGGGATGTGACCGGGTGCATGTGGAAAGGATGTTTCCTCTTTTAGGAGAATCTAGAACTAGGGATCAGAATTTAAAAATAAAGGGGTGCCCATTTAAAACAGAGGTGAGGAAACATTGTTGCTGCCAGAGGTTGTGAATCTTTAGAATTCCCTTTCTCAAAAAACAATGAATGCAGAATCTTTAATTTTTCTTTCTGCAGAGGTAGATAGATTTTTGATTACCAAGTGGATGAAAGATTATTGAGGATTTGCAGGAATGTAGAATTAAGGTTAAAATCAGATCTGTCATGAAGTCATTGAATAGCACTGAAGATCAAAGGCTGAGGGGCCTACTCCTGTTCCTTGATCATATCTTTCACTGGTTGGGCCTTTGGGATCATTTGAGAAGGTGAAGCATTCTGTAGAAACATGATTGTTTTAACAAGAAAGTATGTTCGGCTCTGTTGTACCTGCTGCGTTGAATAAATTCTCCGCTCACTTCACAGCCCATTTTCCAATAACCCAGTGAACTTTCAAAAGTACAGACAGCTCTTACTCACATGCAGGAGTTGCTTCCTCTTTTTATTCATCTATGTAAAATCATTTCAAGTTGCATTGCTGGCCTTCCTGATTTGCTTCCTGTCAGCCTCAAAAAGGTCACCAACTGCCCCCCAGCTGTGTATAAGCACACCTGCAGCCTGACTCACCAGAGCCATGGCACAGGCTCACTGAACGGCTACTGTCACTACAAAAGCACCCTGATCACTATCCCTTCATCCATCATCAGGCAAGCTCCACAAATGATCAGAAATAAGTAACATAAGAATTAGGAACAGGAGTAGGCCATTCGGCTCCTCAAGCCCGCTCCACCATTTAATACGTTCATGGCTGATCTCATCTTGGCCTCAACTCCACTTTCCTGCCCGCTCCCCATAGGCGTTCAACCTAGGACTAATTAAAAATATCTTCTGTCTCGTTCTTAAATTTATTCAGTATCCTGGCGTGCACCGTAATCTGGGATACTGAATTCCACAGTTTCACAACAACGTGAAAGAAGTCATTTCTCCTCATCTCTGTTTTAAATCTGCTTAGCCTTACCCTATATCTATGATCTCTGTTCTAGATTGTCCCACGTGAGGATACATCCTCTCTACGCCTAGTTTGTCAATCCCCTTGAGCATCTTATATACCTCAATGAAATCTCCTCTCATTCTTCTAAACTCAAGAGAGTATTGGCCAAAATACCCAATCTCTCTTCAAAAAACAAACCCCTCAATTCTGGACTCAATCTAGTGAACTCTCTCTGAACTGCCTCCAGTATAATTACATCCTTACTCAAGTAAGGGGATCAAAACTATGCAGTTGCAGCAACACTTACCTATTTTTATAATCTGTTCCTTTGACGATAAATGCCATTTGCCTTCCTTATTTCCTGCTGTATTTGCCTACATGTTTTCAGCGCTTCATGCAAGAGGGCACCCAGATCGCTCTGCAACAAAACACTCTGAAGTTTCTCTCTGTTTATATAATAAGTTGCCTTTCTATTCCTCTGATGAAAATGGATAACCTCACACTTATCCACATTAAACACCATATGCCAAATTTTGACCCATTCAACTAACCTATCCATATCCATTTATAGGTTTCTTATTTCTTCATAGCAACTTACTTTCCTATCTATTTTAGTGTCTTCTGCAAATTTTGCCACAGTACCTTCTATGCCCGCATTCAATGTAGATGGTAAATAATTGGGGCCTGATGACCGAATGCAAAACAAATGAAAGAAGACAGATGAAAAATTAGGAAAGAAAATACAAGTTAGGAAAGGAGAGAAAGAAGGTGAGAAAGAGAATTCATGTATGTGTGTGGATAATATCCAGAAGGCAGAAAGAAAGATCTCTTGAGATAACAAGGTGTAGAGCTGGATGAGCCCTTATTGTTTTTTTTAAAAAACTGCAATGCTTTGTTTGAATTCTTCCTTTAGAAAATGCATCTTGCTGGATTTTAAAATGGCTTCTAGTGAACACAGAATGAGCAAGTTGATTGCTTTCAAATTTCTAGCAAATTTCAGTCAGGACTGAAGCAAACATCACCTCCTGGAATGTGACAGTCCTTGAATGGGGGCATTCCAGCCAAGCCAACATGAAAAACCTGTAGACAGAACTGCCACCTTAGCTAGGTCTGAGCAAAGGAAACCATCGCAACTCATTATCGATTAACTCGGTGTTGTCTGCTATAAAACACAATAGTTTCTCATGATACAACTCCAAAACCACCTCAGTAGCTGAGTGCATCACCCAAAGCCCCAGTAATCTGATTGAAACTCCTGGCTTTTCTGAAATATCTGTAAATCTAGAGTTTTGTGTCTTGTTGGTGAGCCTGCTTATAACACCTAAAGAGTAAGCAAATACAGGTTTAGCTAAATGGCGGTCTCTAATCTCAATGACTCTTAATATTTGATTCCAGAAAACAAATCAATGTTTCTGAAAGGAAAGTTCTGTACAACTGCAACACCTTTAGCAGCAACTTGACTGTGTGTCAACTCTTAAAAGAGAAACATCTGCACACAGCCAATGAAAAACCTCAACTGGATATTGATTTACTGCACACCCTAATTCACGAGAACTCATTCCAACACCCATGATTTGAAGGAATTTGTTAATTCCTCCATTATCATCTCTTTCTTGGATGCAAGTGTGTGTGAATGCGTATTACAAACTATTTAAATGCAGTGCAAACCTTACAAACCGGGATTGTTTGGGGAAACACATCACCGCATTGTTTGAATGAGGAAAAAGAAAATAATTTAAAGATAACCCCTGTTATAGACAGGAAACACGGATAGAAACAATAACTGAATTTACCTTTGCTCTTGTCCATGACACATGAGAGAGAAAGAAAGAAGACACATTGGAGTTTAGAAGGCTGAGGGGGGGTTCTAATTGAAACTTAGCGAATACTGAATGGCCTGGACAGAGTGGATGTTGGGAAGATGTTTTCATTTGTAGGAGAGACTACGACCCAAGGGCACAGCCTTAGAGTAAAGAGAAGACCTATTAGAACGGAGATAAGGAGAAACTTCTTCAGCCGGAGAGTGGTGAATCTATGGAATTCACTGCCACAGAAGGCTGTGGAGGCCAGGTCATTGAGTACATTTAAGACTGAGATAGATAGGTTCTTGATGATCAAGGAGATCAAGGGTTACAGGGAGAAAGCAGGAGAATGGGGTTGAGGAACTTATCAGCCACGGTTGAATGGCAGAGCGGACTTGATGGGCTGAATGGCCTAATTTCTGCTCCTGTGTCTTATGGTCTTATTGTTCTGGACTACAGTCAGTAGATGTGAAGCTGGAAAAACACAGCAGGTCAGACAGCATCCGAGGAGCAGGAAAGTCAATGTGTTGTCTGAAACCCTTCGTCAGGACTTCATTGTTCTGAACTAGATTATCTGTATTTTAAATTAATCAAATTGGTTTCCCTGAAATGCGCTCTGACACTGCATTCCACTCATGCTTCACACATGGTTATGCTGACAGGGTGGGTTCAGTTCAGTTCTCTGTGGGGAGGAGATAGTCATTTCGTTCATCTGACATTGTGTGTTTGTGTTGCTGTGGTTTTCTTCAGTACAGATTCTAATCTGCTGTCGCACCATGCAACACTCTTTCAGCACTATGTCCCTGACAGTACAGCACTGTGCCTCTGCCAGTGCAGCTCCCTTTCAATGCTGACTCTGACAGTACAGCACTCCCTCAGTGCTGATGCTCTGATCGTGCAGCACCCCCTCAGTATTTACCGTCTGACAGTGTGGCATTCACTCAATATTGACCTTCAGATAGTGAGGCACTCACTAAGTACTGCTGCTCTGGCAATGCAGCACTCCCTCAGCACTGACCTTCCACCAGTGCAGCTCTCCCTCAACACTGACCTTCTGATAGTGCAGCACTCCCTCAACACTGACCATCTGTCTGCATTTTTCACAGTTCTGAGAGAAATTTCTGTTAGGTTTTGAAGAGAATATTTCTAAAATACCAAAAAAAAAACCCAGAGGCAGCAAAGTGCCTGGACAGCCAGAGGGGAAATATATGCTCTGCTGTCTAAACAAAACAAACACCGTGGAGAAACCAAAATTCTGGTCTAGCAATTCATTGAATCGAATCTTACAGACAGAAGGATGCCATTTAACACATTGAGCCTGTATTTGCTCTGTGCAAGTAGTATCACCTGATCCAGTGTTGTATCTGGGTGACTGAATGATGCCAGTTTCAACCTCCTAGCTGGTCACTTTCAGTACAACTTCCTTTTGCTTGCACTCCACTTTGACTCTCAGAGAGTCATGGATTAAAGTCCCACTCCCAGAAGGCCCAGGGCAAATTGGGAGATGAGCAAGCCCGTTCACTCCAGAGTTCTCATCAGTATATATTCTCCAATCCACATTGTTGTTTGTGGGAGATCACTGTGAGCATATTTTGGTTGCCACATTATAAGACTGATTATATGTCACAGCTATTTAATTGGCTGCAGAGAAATTTTCTGACATTGTGAAATTTGCTGTGGGAATGATAATCTTTCTCAGCAATATAATTCACCATTCCATTTCACATCACTGTGAGAATAAAGTACTCAAAGGACTCACTGCCCCTTTCCCATTGACAGAAACATTTTGGAGAAAGCTTCATCGATGATAGTTCATTTACGCAAACAAATCAGAGCAGATGAATTTAAACTTCAACCTCCTTTTACGTTGTCAATGTTTGGGATATACAGTTGACAAACTAAACAAGTATTTCACATTAGTATTTACTGTGGAAAAGGATATGGAAGCTAGAGAACTTCGAGAAATAAACAGTGAAATCTTGAAAAATGTCCATAATATACGGGAGGAGATGCTGGTTATCTTAAAATGCACAGAGCTGGATAAATCCCTGGGATTATCCCAGAACTCTATGGGAAGCTAGGGAAGTGATTGCTGGGCCCCTTGCTGAGATATTGGTGTCATTGATAGCCACGGGTGAGGTGCTGGAAGACTGAAGGGTGGCTAACGTGGTGCCAATATTTAAGAAATGTGCTAAGGAGAACCACGGAACTATAGACCGGTGAAATTGACGTCAGTGGAGGGTAAGTCATTGGAGGGGATTCTGAAGGATAGAATTTACATGTATTTGGGAAGGCAAGGACTGATTAGGGATAGTCAATGTGGCTTTGTGCATAGGAGATTGTATCTCATCAACTTGATTGAGTTTTTTGAAGAAGTGGCAAAGGAGATTGATGAAGGTAGAGCAGTAATCTATATAGACTTCAGCAAGGTGGTCGACAAGGTTCCTCATGGTAGTTTGGTTAGCAAGGTTAAATCACATGGAATCCAGGGAGAGCTAACCATTCGGATGCAAAATTGGCTTGAAGGTAGGAGACAGAGGGTGGTAGTGGAGGGTTGTTTTTCTGACTAGAGGCATGTAACCAGCGGTGTGCTGGAACGATCTGTCCACTACTTTTTGTCATTGATATAAATGATTTGGATGTGAATATAGGAGGTATGGTTTGCTGATGGCACCAAAATTGGTGGTGTAGTGGACAGTGAAGAAGATTATTTCAGAGCACAACGTGACCTTGATCAGATGGGCCGATGGGCTGAGGAGTGGCATATGGAGTTTAATTTTTTTTTTAAATGTGAGGTGCTGCATTTTAGTGGGGTAAATCAGGGCAGGAATTATACACATAATGGTAGGGTCCTGGGGAGTGTTGCCGAACAAAGAGACCTTGGGGTGCAGGTTTGTAGTTCCTTGAAAGTGGAGTCACAGGAAGACTGTGTTGAAAAAGGCAATAAGGACTGCAAAAGCTGGAAGCCAGAGTCAGTAGATGTGAAGCAAGAAAAACACAGCAGGTCAGACAGCAAGGAGCATGAAAGTCAACGTTTCGGGCGAAACCCTTCGTCAGGACAAGGCGTTTGGTACACTTGCCTTTACTGGTCGATGCATTGAATATAGGAGTTGGGATGTCATTTTGTGGCTTTACAGGGTATTGTTTAGGCCACTTTTGGAATAATGCTTTCAATTCTGGTCTCCCTGCTATAGGAAAGATGGTGTTAAACATGAAAGGAGCAGAAAACCATCTGGCTCACTAATGTCCTTTAGGGAAGGAAACTGCCATCCTTACCTGGTCTGGCCTACATATGGACTCCAGATCCACAGCAATGTGGTTGACTCTTAAGCACCCTCTTGGCAATTAGGGATGGGCAATAAATGCTGCCTAGCCAGCGATGCCCTCCTCCCGTAAATGAATAAAGAAATAAAAAGAAAAGATTTACAAGGATGTTACCAGCATTGGAAGGTTTGAGGTATAGAGAGAGGTAGAATAGGCTGAGGCTATTTTCCCTGGACCATCAAAGGCTGAGGGGTGACTTTATAGAGTTTTATAAAATCATGAGGGGCATGGATAGGGTGAATAGCCAAGGTCTTTTTCCCAGTGTAGCGGAGTGCAGTATGAGAGGGCATGG